TTTAGGAAGCAGGGTTTCACCTATATTTAAAAATGTTTGTAACATTTATTTTGAAATAAACTTATTATTATTATTTATTATTATTGCTACTAAATACCACATCATTATTATAATGATTTCACTATCACACACTTTCATCTACCGATTATCCTTGTGATATCCTATAATATATTTTGTCGTGTTATGTCTGTTTCACTATTTTATTATCTTTATATCATAAGAAAGAGAAGATGGATAATCTTGGATTTCTTAGTAATTTTCAAAAACAACGAATTTTTTAGGATTTAATATATCAGCTGCACTTGCTTCAGGATATTTTTTAATTAAACAAACAAAAACGTCTCTTTTAAATATGATAAAATCCAATATGAGATCACAAGCAATATTAAAAATAATTATCAAAATCTGCCTAGAATAGGCGTTACCTAATGTCATTAATATTTTTGATTAGATTCTGATACAAAATATTGGTGGAAACTAATGGGTTAAGTAGACGGGATGCGAACCATACTTGTACTTTTATGCAGATATTAGGTAAATATATTAATTTACATTAGGTGGTTACTAGTTAAATATTCTGTGGAATCTCTTTAAATTTAAACAAAGTTACGGACTTGAGCTTTTAGCTATCTTGTAAAGTTGTTCTCTGAGGAGTTAGAATAAGCCACGTTACTGTAGAAGACTTGACTGAAATTCTAATAAGCCACTCCATCTTATGCTCACTTAAATAGGTATATGAAAGCGAAATAAAACGAAATAATCATACTGTAATGTAACATTTGATAGATGCAGTTTTAGTTCGTTTTAATTAGTAGATAGACACTATAAGTCTCTGTATGACAATTTATTATGATTACAGTTTTTTTTAGGTTAGAGTTGCATTTAATTAGACTGTTATGATGGGCGTATTTTATTTTATTTAGACTAGAATGAAATATTAGGGAGCATAGGGCAAACAAGATGCACGATCTAGGACTGCTACTAAAATAAGTGTGTGGTCGACCATCAATTGGGTAATCTCGACTACCTTTTAGTCGCCCATTCGACGGCCGACTTAACATCGGCGTCAAGTGTGGCGCGTGCGTCCATAAGGGCGTAGTGGATATTTATAATGCATTGAAAATGCTGAAAAATATGATATGGCTAATAGGTATACTTGTGGAACTCGTCACGAAGAGCTAACTGCTTTTAACCTCATCTATTATCTTTCACGAGTGTGGTAGATAGATATGTATGTATCTATAGGTAGGTAATAACAAGAAACTAAAAATGAGGCTATTATTTATAATTGGAGGAAAGGGATTGTTAGTAATAAGGTCCAACAGCTTTACTGTTAGCAATATACCCGGTCGTCGTATATATCAGGTCGACCTCCATGCAGGTCCACTTTAAGGAAACTATACTAACGTAGAACCCACTTTCATTATCACCTCTCACTGATACCCTGCCAGCGTATACCGATAGCGCAGGCGGGTTGCCATTTGATTTTTACCTATTATAAAAAATATTTATAACCTAAAGAAAAATTTAGCAGTAATACTAAATTTTTGGATTAGTTCACCGATTATCTTTTTTTATTATAAGTTTGCCATGGAGTAATAATTACTAGTGTATTATTAGTTTGACCAATAAGAAGAAGACTCAAGAGATTTGGTGTCATTAACTTTATACAGCATTTGGTTGCCTATTATATACTCACTTTTGTTATAGTAAAATTGTTATAATTAAACTTCCTGGAATGAGAGGAAAAAGAAAAGTATTTAAAAAAAAATATTTCCAAGAAAATTCTAACAAGCTTTGCAACTTTCTCGTTTAAGTTCTTGAAATAGCAATTTCATATTTCATAAATACCTGATCGAAGAGGTATTTATGCAAGGTAAATTATAAAAGAAAGTTTAACAATAGCTCACAATTTACACTTTGTTGACTTTGTAATCTTCGCTAGATTAAGTACGAGGAGGTACTTCATATTAATTTAATCATATAAATATGGAAGTTGGTTATTCAGTGTTGCATAAATGGCGGAATGGATTTTATTTAAACTCTATTATATACCCAATTATATTATGATATAATAATATAAGTATTTATCCAGTTTAATACATATTTATGAATGAAATGATATATATATATATATATATATATATATATATATATATATATATATATATATATATATATATATATATATATATATATATATATATATATATATATATAAAAGTTGCCTCTTCGTCTTGCTTTTATGTAATTAAGTATACATGTTCAAATAAATGAAAACTCTTTAAAGGGAACAACCCTTCAAAGAATGATTCGCAATATAAAAATTAACAATATGTATATACTGTTCATATGCTACTTACTGTACGGAATTTCTAACTATTTGCAACACACGACTGTTGGAGGGAAAGGGATTGTTAGTAATGGAGACTGAAAATCCCATTGCTAGCAATATACCCAACCAGGTCGACCTCCTCGCGGTTCCCTCTGGAAACTATCATGAATAATTCCAGGTGAATTCATCATTATGGGCTAACGGGCCTGTTTTCATTCTCATCAATCACCCTTCACTGGTGCCCCGCCAGCGTATCCCGTTAGCGCAGGCAGTTATCATACCATTTTCATCCAATAAAAAAAAAAACACACGACTGTCGTATCTATATCTGTATATAATTTATAAATAAAAGCTAAATTTAGACCTATGAATACGAGTAGAATTGTGCAAATGTCTCACAGGCAGTAAAGGGATTGTAAAAAAATATAAAGCGCGTGTAGAGCCAAATATTCAAGGGTGATAAGGAACAATGGCCCATAATAAGTTCCTGTCACGTTCTGCCACAACGACTATAGTATGTTGACGAGCAGGTAGAAACGCATACAAGCAAGCTTAACATGTCACGTCGACGTATTTTTATACGCAAAGCGATCACGGACCACGGCCATAACGTAAAACATGTTACCCAGTTACGGATACCTTGAGTCTATTCATTTACAGTTTGTAACAAACCTTTGTGTTCCATTTTTAGATGATTTTTTAATTATTTTATGCTATCCACAATATAAATCTAATACCTATGTCTGGGGGGATAATGGATTGTCAAAAATTGGGATTAGTAGCCCCATTGTTAGCAATACACCCTGTCAGGTCGACCTCCTCGCGGTTCCCCCTGGAAACTGTCGTGTTCTATTGACCTGCCTTTTCATTGTCACCTATCATCCTTCACTGGTGCCACGCCAGCGTATACCGTTAGCACAGGCGGGGTAACCTTTCCATAATCATCCATTAAAAAAAATACCTATGTCTCTGTTACTTAACTAATATAATAAAATTGTAAATAGACGATGTCTGTACAGAGAAAATATTAAAAAACAATTAATACGAAGCGTCTCAGTAAGAGCAATAGAAGCCAAAATATAAGTTTTAGTTTTTATGTCCGCCTGTATGTTGGTTCCTTAATCACGCAAAAACTACTATACCAAATTTAATGTTTTTCACAGTTGTTTCTGAAGGTGTACCATAAATATTAGTGAAACTTAAAAACTTAATAATTCATCTTCATACGTCATCTACCTATTTACCTAAGTGGTTACCTACTTCTAAAATCCATGCATATGAAGTTACTGGAAAAAATTGTGATAAAATCCGACACAATAAACAGCCCATCCAATACATAGTTAATTGACATAATTATCTACTTTCATACCATCAAATCCATTACGGAATAGTTAATTAACCATATAATTACACTCTATGTTTCTAAATTTCATCTGCATTCATAATTATTTAATAGAGAGAATAAAAAAAACTAAGTACACTTAACTTTGCTGTTCGTAAAAGTTTGATCTTTGTTATTCAGTAGTGCGCTGTTGTTAAACCACGGAATGGATTTGGAATGGATTGGAGATTAAATACGCTGTCTATGAAGATAGACTATGCAAGTATATACTCAGCTATGGTAATTCATTCCTATAAATACATTCACAAGCTAATTCCGATTTAAACGAAATTGCGGTATTAGTGAGTTGTTTTTATGAGTAAATCCTTACGAATATTATAATTGTGAAAGTAAGATTGTTCATTTTTGCCGCCTTAACAACTTAGTTAAATGACGATTACTTAATCGTCATTAAATTTGTTATTCGCGTAGTATTTGAGATTAAGAGGGACATAAGATATTTATTGTTATCGTTAATCGACATAATTGCCATCGTCATGCAAATAAAAGGGCTCATAAAAACTAGTGTATTCATAGATTGTCCTATGAAGTTTAACATTTAATATTTTATGTTCGCAGAAACTTTTTAGGTTTAATTAGGTTTTAATTTAGGTTTCATCCAATATATAAGTAAATTGTAATTAAATATCTAATACAAATAGAAAAGCAGTAGTTATGAATTACATTATTGGATATACCTATTTTGTTCTACATTTAATAATAATTTCTTTGTATAAGGGGACATTTCATGTTAAAACTAAATAACTATATATATTCTCATTTTAAGCATAAAAATATACTTATTAATAAAATAAAAAATGTAGTTTGTATATACACTAAAACTATATATTTACTTCTAAACAGCCTATTTCTAATTCAACCATCTCAAAAAGAAAAAAAATCATTAACGTGTTAGAGATATGACACGGACGTTAAAGAAACAACAATTTAAAAATTTGCAATTTTTCACGTAGATAGATATGGCAACCTTTATTAAAAATAAATCCGAAATCATTGTACATTATATTTAAAAATATAAATAATATAAAAATATACGGTAGCCAAAATTAATGATTAATCATGTTGTTTATCAGCAGCACGTTACGTTTTGTTAAAATAACATAACTCTCGTTTTTTAAATTATCAACGGTCACCTTTTTATGGGCCGTGGACTAGGATGACCAGTTTTTCTGTTCTCACCGGTCCGTTCGTCCAATACAAGAGAGAGCGGGAAGGGTGCTTTGACTATGCGTCACGGCGGTGCCTCCCGCGCGACGCCGGCATTTGATGGCGCGCATTCCTTACCTTCGCTCGTTGTTGTTCTAGTTACAGATGAATCCGCGAGTGTTTAATAGTTGTGAATAACTTAGTGACACTTTTGGATGTTTCTCATGATCTTGCAATAATGGGTGGACCGCTAGTGTTGTTATTTGTGATGTGTATAGGCATCATAGCCGCCGAAAGGAAAATTACCATCGCTGATAAACTTAGGGAAGACTCTGACCTTTCTCAGGTATTTAAAACTTTCGCACTAGTTTTACACATATGTTGTCTTTTAGGTGCATTAACTATATTAATAATTTAATTATAAATACTATAAATTTTAATTCGCATCAAGAAAATTTAATTTTCTTTATTTGTTTGGTTTAAAACTTACACAACTTTTTATTAAAGCATCATTAATTATTCTATTAGAATTTTTAATTCGTAAATTCCTATATAACGCAATTTTTTTTTCTGTAAAAAAATTAAAGAATTTTTCTTTTAATTGATAGAATTTTGGGAAATAAGAAATAAAAAATACCATATAATATGACTACTCGGGGATGGATGAATGTTTGTTTTCACGCAAAAACTATGGAACATATTTGAATGAAATTTGAGTAAATTACATTTTAACTTACCACTTAGGATACTTTATGTACTAACTCACGTGAGTAAAGTCGCAGGATACAGCTGGTATTAGTATAATAGAAAGTAGGTATAACAGTATCATATTTGGTTAATTAATATAAATAATATGTAGATCATCAAAGAAATCAATTTTAGTATATATGTATACCCACTTATCTTTCTACTTAATTGTATTTCTGCATGCATGAGTAACATTTCCAGGTCGTAGGCATATTCTCATACCTATGACCTAATGCGCTTTTATAGTTCACACGACTCTGCCATAATACGATAAAATGAAGTACCTACCACAAAATTTCATTACCCTTTTAATAAGTGGCCGTTAATGAAATAATAAATATACCTAATAATAATAAATAAAAAATACAATCTTCAACTCAAAAATGCACTAAAGGTTAATTTGTATCTTTTTGGTTAGAAACCCTAGTAATTTACACCCTATTCAAAGTTTCTATATTAGATGATTATTTAAAAATTTCGAAATACTATTTTTAAGTGTCCTAATTAAACCCACACATCTTCTGGGAACGAGTTTCCGAAAATTATTTTTTAGTCGTTACTCTTTTCTGTAGGTTATTTCTACAAATAATTTTATTTGTCAATTTAGTTTTTATAACTTTTCACAATTCTGGGTATAATCTAAAAGTTTCAATTTAGTCAATCAATCAAGACTTCATTCTTTGTAAGATTTTAATAGATAAATATTTCAGGCTGATTTGAAGTAAATTTTGGAACTTGCTAAATTTAAATATGAGGATAAAATTTAAAATGGCGACCTAAAAAAGGATACACTCCTCTATGCATATTTAGAATTTTATTCTGCTTGCTGCTGTCTTGCATTTCCATATTTTTCAACATCGTATTTTGTATTCACGGGTAACAAAATTGATTTTTGTTGTACTATATGTATATAACCAAGTAAAATCATATATTGATGATAGAATTAGAGAGTGGAGGGATGAGTGGTCAAATCTATATTATTGTGATCTAAATAGTTTTCATAATTACCTACTTACCTACATAATTAGCTACCATAAACTATCATAAGCTTAAAATAAACTAAAACTGTCTAGTAATGTCCACTGTTGTCATTTTGCTATTGTAATTTCGTAGAAATTCAATAATATAAACTCCAGCTTTCCACAAAAGCAGGTTTTTTACAATAAAACAATTTCCGAGCAAATGGAAGAAGAAATAAATTGTCACCATAGATTTCAATTATCCGATATATAGAGATAATATCCGGTTGTTACTTAAACATAGTTCATTTTATGCTGTCACTTACGTTAGAGATTTACATAAAGCAATAACAGCTGCGTTTAATTATTGCAAAAGGGATTTGTTCAACAGTATCGCTGGCCATCTGTCTTTAACGCTGACTCACACAGGGAGTGTATCGAGCAAGTACATATTAACTGCATTAATTCCTAAGGTTTCATTCGCCAAATAACTGGCAAATACTTATCACATTTACAATAATTTTAAAAATATATTAAAATTTAATTATTTATCGGCGATCAGTATAACACAAGATGCGTTGCTGGTCCATATTTTAATTATAGTTAGTTATATTTAGAAAACTTATTTTTAATAATAAATAACTTATCATTCTTCTATAATATTAATCTCTATATATGAACGTACTCTATTTCGTGTGATTATATTATACCTTAGATTGAGGTCTTTGCAGCTGATGTATTTACATCTTGTAAAAATAATTTTTAAAATATTAAAATTTATTCATTCTGAGTACTACCAAAAACAGTCAAGGTATACCATCTTGTCTTATATATATGGAGTATACATAATAAATGATGAACAGACTTACAAATGAAATATTTAATATATCCTCAGTCCCTAAGACATAAACCGATCCAATGAGTAAAGCTTATTCATTATGATAAAATATCAATACTACTTCTACCATCACCACTTCACCACTACCTATTAAAATTTGTTAGTATCTACAGGCTAGTCTTTTTTGATTTACATGAAATTTAAATTTAAAATCGATATCAGTGTATTATTTTTTCCTTGAAGAAGAATTATTTTGAATATCGTTGTCTATCTTAAAATGAATGCTAATTCGCATCATTTTTGAATCAGTAGATATAAACGCCAGTCCTGCAAAATCTACTGCGTTTTTAGTTTAAATACTTTTGGAAAATACTGCACATAAAACACGCAGTATAAATGCATTTTAAACATTCAAACGAAAAATGCAGCAAGATTCTGCATACCTATGCAGAGACATATCAACATCAGAAATGAGAGTTTAAGTACAAATAGATTAGTAGAGCCTTAACTCTGATAGTAAATAATGGAATTGAATGTTAAAGTTATTTAAAATAACCTAAACTCTTTAATATGAAAAAAAAAGAAATAAAAATCTCGGTGAATGGACTTTAAGAATATATCGAAAGTATATTGAAGATAGCAAATTTTCAACAATGATAGTTTACCGTATTTATTAAATAGACATACAAGTAAAAATCAATTGCTGTTTATTAGTCTTGCTAAAAATCAAAAACGGATTCTCTAATTTGAACAATTTTTTTTTCGTTTTATTCATTGTGATATAGGGGTGGTTTAAAAGTTGGAAAAATCTATATTTAGGTGATGATTATTTTTAATAAATAGCGTGTAGGTGATATAAAGTTCACCGGGTTCTGTGATAAAAGTGAATGATAGATAATGTTCGCTGTATTTGTTGCATTGAATCTCAGAAAAGGCACCCAAATCTGTATTCCCAAAGACAAATTGTTTCATAAAAGTTATATCTATTATATTCTGCAGTATACACGTATCTTCTCTAATTTTTATTTATTATCACTTCTTGAGATATTGTATAATAACCGAATAATTAGGTAATTTAAGTATTCTAACATTTCCCTAAGGTTGACTGGGAGAGAACGCATATAGCACTAAGTCCGCCTTGTACACATATGTACTAATGAATAAATTAATTAATAATCATTACTCATTGTAAACGACAATATATAACTGGCCAGGTATTTATTATAACAATTTGTAAAAGAATACTCTTTTTTTAATAAAATCGATAATATACCAGTTTATTACAGACTGTCTTATGATAATGTTCTGCGATAAGTGGTACGACGAATATTTCTGAAATAATGAAACTTGGACAGGAAACTTTCTGTCAGCGTATTCACCAGAAAATAAAGCAAATACCAGGAGTACCGCTTTTTGCATTATTTTTCGCAATTTAAGTAAGTTTTACGGGAAATATATTTTCTTCTTATTTGTAATATTCTACGCTTAAAAGTTGAACAGTTTCCTTGAATTGCATAATGTTATATATAATAATGTAACGTAAATAAATATGAACAATTTATATAAAACATAAACACATAAATATTTATATTAAAAGTTTCTATTCCTATTATTACATATATAAGCTGTTTGATAACATGCTTCCTATTTTATATTTAGGCATTAGATATATTTTTTATATCATAATTTTTAGACTTATGTCCAACTACAAAAAAGATTTTAAATATAATATAAGAATTCTAAATTTGAATAGATTTCAAACAAATCTTAATAAATCTAATGAAGAATACAACAGACGTAATGACAAAGATTGATCCACTCCATTATTTATTTAAAATCGGAGTAATTATTGTCCTCACTAACATTACGTGTACCTATTTACTCAATCGATTCTTATTATACGCTTTTCTTTAGAGAAATCGAAATTTAACAAAAGATTCGTTCTATCATTGATGTTATAAAGGAAATATATTAATTACAGAGTAGTTAAAATCTCTATCTTCATTAGTGTGTGTGAATGCTAATATTTTATTGTACTACGTAAAGAGGTAGACAGACAATGTATTCTATTTGCTTAATTCGCATGAGTCAATTTAAGAGAAGTCTTTTGTAGGCGTCTTTGAATGGGTCATTGACGTTTGGACAATGACGTTGAACACCACTTCGCTATTATAAAATTGGCTCTCAAATTATTCTATTATATATGGAAGAAGTTGACTAATATTTAATATTTATTACAGAAATTTGGAATTATTAATACTTGTTTTAATTTATATTACTTGTAGTACTGAAAATAGTCTATTAATCCATATCCGTGTAATTGTATATGTAAATTAGTGGTTCAAGAATATATAATAATTAAGAGTAGTTGACGTAAATTATAACTAACCTTTGCACCGCACGTACGAAAGAACATTAAACAGTAAAGAAAGAACGCAGTCGCAAGCAGGCCTTGGTTACATAATTGATCAGTCACAAATGGTGGCATCCGTTTGTCTTACGCTGGCAGCCTTGTGGTCCAACATAATCAAACGAAAGACTCTCTATATAGGAAAGACATTTGGATTTTATAGCCGCTCTAAAATACTTTTTTATGTTGTTGATAAGTCAAACCCTTGAGTTTTGGCCCGCACAGAATCTTCATATTTTATTACTTCATCGAAATCAGAATGCTGCTCGATACTATAAAAATAAACAAATATACTATTAAGAAATTTTTTTATAGTTAACATGGTTTTTACGTTTGTTAACATAATTTTTTTTTATTTAAAGTCATCTAGTTATCTGTCTATGTGATTACCT